TCATTATCTAATTTGACAGAACAGGTCTTTCTTTCCCCCATCTTTGGGGAGGGATAAAACCTAATGCACTCCTAATATCTAACATTGTGGGTCTCAATAAGCGGCGCCACTGCTTACCATCAGGTAATCCGTCTGCTCATTTGCCGACTAAAAAAAAGAACAAAATATATGTCGTATATCTTCTTCATTATCTGACTGACGGATGTATTCGATTTTTAAATTTTAAACGCTCTCGTCACTTCTACTGCTAGACTTTTAGGCTTGCTTGCATCCATTGAAGTAACAAGGCAACCATCTTGGCTAATAAAATATGATCGTGTAGCTAAATAGACGTACAAAACTAAGTACTTGAACGAACACTAACAACAAAATATGGCGATGCATAATATACATTCTTTATGCCATAGTAACTTCACATGGACGACCATAAAATTTGATGGCAAATTATAAGACTTATTTAACACTAGCTTAATGCCCGCGGCTTCGTATGGAGTTTAAATTGTTTATCTCATGTAGGTATCCTCAATTTTTCATACAACAGTTTAAATCCCAATTTCCTAAATTAATTCTATGAAAAAAGGTGGTAACCTAGGTTATTTTCTAAAAAGTTTCAAACGGTTTAATTGTTTTTTTTAATTGGTCCAATAGTTCTTAATCTTATTTGAAGCACACAAGCAATCAAAAATGTGTGTAGGTATATAAAAAAAGTCGTTAGTTACACTATTTATAACTCAAGAACGGCTGAACCGATTTTGTTGAGAATTGGCGGGCTGTAGTTTTGGACCAGAAAAAGAACTCAGGATAGGGTAGTGTCGAGAGATGATCTCCGGCCACCGTTTGCGCGGGTCTGCGGTCGGCGAGTATTGGCAGCTCGCCGCCGTTCCGCGCACGCCTCATAGAGCTAATAGACCACCACAGACGGGGCCCTATAGGGCTGATGTTCAGCCGGGGTAAGAGCAATGAGGCACTGCGGCCTCGGCCCAGAGCAGAAGAAGGAACAGGGGGGTTTTTAGTCAGTAAGAGTCTGACACTCCCTCCCGCCCGGCCCTGGGCGGGAGAAGTCATGTGATGATTTTCCCTTCACAAAAAAAAGGATAGGGTAGTGTAGGCAGAGTAGGGCAGGTAGGATAGGATATGTAGGGTAGATAGTGTAGGTAGGTAACTAAATAGGGGAGTGTAGGTAGTCAATCTCGTTTTGTGGTAAGCGATTATGCGATTTGCAATGAAGCACGCCTACCAATTAGCGACTACTCATAAATATATTTTGAAATATCCTTGCTTTCTCCAAATTGACATACTGAAGTATTGTAAAGTTAATAAGTTACTTACATTTGCAAGTTAGTATTATGGTATTGTATTTTATGAGAAAGATTTTAAGCAATATTACATGGCGCTTAAAATTATACGGACATAAAACCAGCTTGGAATTTCTAGTAAGACATGAAAATAGTGATTTTGCTTTTTTTATACAAATATTTTTTGACTACTCAAATCAAATTTCTCAAAAATCTGGCCATGATAATAAACAGCGAAACGTTGTAATTCTTCCATAAACGCAAATCTCAATGGATACATGCTTTACTTTCTTTCTTTAACAAAAAAAAAAACACTAGTTGTAATCCTACTGTACGTTGCCCTACACTAGGATTTTCTTCTATGTCGTGGGTGCGTCTACAAACATACAATTCCACATGCACATCAGCATATCACACCCAGAACCGAAACAACAATTTGTGGATCACACAGTGTTGTTCCGTGCGGGATTCGAACCCGCGACACGTTGCTCGGCAGCTAGTTGTACAGCCACCGCACCAACTGTGCAGTCAACATTGCCTGACGATATCAGAGACACCAAAGACAAGACTAAACCCAAGGAAGACACAACTAAAAATAAGTTTCTTTTTTTAACTGTCGATATAACTTATTTGAAAATATTTAAGCGTTGACGCGAAGTGGCAACTTCTGAAGGGCTCAATACCATGGTCGGAATTGGCGCGAAATTAAAGCTACCGGTATTGTGAGATTGAATGCGCAAGCGCACACGGCCACTGCGGACTGTCCGGCTATAAAACAAGCGAGACAGATGATGTTGAAGGAGCGTGAACGTTTTTGCTCACTGTTTTCAAAAGATTGATAGTGATTCTCTTTAAAATTTGAATTTGGAATGGAAAAAAATATTATGCAAAATATATGATGCTATTTATCAGAAAGCGCCGCAGCCAGGTTTTTGTCTAATCGTGACCTTAGTCCGCTCTTGCGTTATCCGCGGGAAAAATAGAACTGATAGTCGATGTATTGTATAATACCACCAACACTTTTCAAATACCTAAACCATTCATAGCAGAATAATACCATTTCCATCCATAAATTAAGTTTTTTTGCTAAAGGACCAGATTCTATATTATCCCTTATACTGAATACTTAACCATGCTTATCCATAATTACATCCGTATTTCTAATCTTATAACAGATCCATAAATGTTTTTATATCTCAGCAAAGTAACACGGCAGCTAGCCATTTTACTGCGAGTCGCGCTTTTTAAATGTTTACGATCGCTTCGCTAAATGAGATTTTATCAGTGCATGCTTTTATTTGGTCCTTTTTTCCGACTTTCGTCTCGGACCTTGGCGGAAAGTATCTTAGGACCCTTTGAAAGTGATCTGAGGCTCGAGATTGGTCCTAAAGTTATTGGTTGCTAAAGGATCAAAAGACTTCGTCCGACGTATGGTTTGGTATTGTAAGGTGGTAGAAAAGATTCTTTGGGAATGAAGTGTCATTTATAAATTTTATTTGAAAGAAAATCTAACGTTATTTTGTCTGAAGTAAGAATTAAACCCAGAACATACAAATAACGGTTAGTTTAGATTTTAATTAAGATATTGTTCTAGTCCCCTAGAAATGTAGTACACGAACAGGCAATCAATGGACAACAACAGACGACCACGGCCTTCGCAGAACACATCGACACCAATTCACAAAGCGAGAGATCAACGTGATTGCTACTGTCAAACTAAATGAAATTTTAATAGTTAACTATAAAGTATAAATTAGCTTGAAAAACTATATAATCATTACAAGATGCGACCTGAAATAGGAATCGTAAAGCAAGGGAAGTAATTTGCATTTGTACTTTGCGGTGGACACGACAACACCCGTGAAATGGCGTATAGGCAGGAGCGGTTCTTCTTCAAAGAAAAAGGTCATAAACTCTAAATTACTGCAGACAAATTAGAACGCTAATTTTATTAGCATTAACGCTGTAAACTGCTTGGCAGCAACCGATTGCTTTATTACTTTATAATGGGTTGGGTTACCAGTAGCGGTTGCCCAAGGATTTAAGTCAGGTTGCTTCGGCTGCCTAGAATTGATTTGGGAACATTAAGTTGATTGATTTTCTTGCTGGTGACGTATAAGGATTGTGGGCTGGTATAGCTTTAGTAGTTTTTGATATCATTTCATTATAATAAATCGGATTATGCCTTAAAAGGATGTGTGAATGTTTAAGCGGAGACCGCGTCCATAATTTATGTTTCCGCGCCTGGTGAAGCCTCATTTCCATATTTAAAACAAAAAAAAAAATATTGCGCTTCGTTGCTATAAAGATCCAGTGAAGTATATGGAACAACAATAACTTTTTGGTTTTGTCACTAGTCCTTTTTATTAGGTTAGGAAGCGTGTCGTTATTTCATTGCAGTTAATATCGAAATTTTGTCAAGGTATGCTTTTTGTTACAACATAAAATTAGAATTATCTTCAGGTTTCATTCAGGTATTATTTCAGGTATTATCCACACAATTCAGGTATTATCCAGCCGTTTGGAAATTAGCTAAATGAAATGTAAAATTTCTTTCTTGAGGGTTGAAGCAATTGACAAATCAGCTCAAAATCCAGCTTCTATCATTTTATTATATTCACCTCCATTGAGAAAAATAAATCTTGCTTTTTTTTCTAATTTCAAAGGTGTGAAATGTGGTCCTTTTGGTTGTTAGTATCATTTGTAATCGGCGTGACGACGTTTTTATGAGATGATGACAGTTTAAATTTTATAATTTATTAATACCTAGGCTGATAACCTTTGTGCTCTGCGTGTACGGAAAAACTTTTGTATGGTTTACACGTGTATCTTTTTGCTATCTATAAGCGATCGACGCCACCCATGGATACCGAAAATATCAGGACTGCTATAGCGGAGGCCCAATCCTTACACTATTCCCAATCCGTAAATCCCTTTAGTTTATCATGAGAAAATTATCAAATGATTTGTCCCGCCATGGGTAAGGCGATTGAGAGTTTCAGACTCTGAAAAACCTCCGTTCCATCTCCTACTTTGGGCCGAAGCCGCGGTGCCTCATTGTGCTTACCCCGCAACCCCGGGAATCCCTAACAAGTAACATAACAACTCCTATACGATAGGCAAACTACTCGGTGAGTGAAGTGACGGGTGTTAATTGGTGGCGAATGCTTACCATCAAATAAATTGTTTATTCCAAAAATATTTTAAGTATCATATAGTATCAGTATAGTATGTTGACATAAGCAAGAAAACATTAAAACTATATCACATCAATTAGCAGTATTTTTACCAACAAAAAACTAAGACCCCATTTTATTTAATTTTTTGGTGAAAATACAAAAGTTATATCGACAATATCTTTAGTGAATAATTATCTTCTAATAGAGAACACCTCGCCCTATCATGCGCACGCGCATTGGTGATATCAAACGTCATCTAGGGAACAGTAGCAAGACACGCCTTAGTACAAGTATTGTGAAGCTTAGATTACATCATAAGGTTTACTAAGATAGATTATTATATTTTTTAATAATCGTTTAGAGATCAGAGGGTAAAGTTTCCTGAGATAGGAATAAGAAGAAATTTTGTTATTCTTCTATACAAATATTATTCCTCAAAGAGGAAAATTTGTAGGTTTGTAGGTATGTAGAGGGGAAATCTTTGGAACCGCTGGTCGGATTTCCAATATTCTTTCACTGAGCTACAATGTTCCTGAGTGCTGTAGGCTATAAAACATCACGCTACGATCAAATGGAGCCGAGCAGCGGGTGGAACCGCGCGAGAGTAGCTAGTAAGTATTATTTTGTGCGTCGTGCACTTTATTTGTCTGATGTAGGACTTATGGCGTCATTTGTAATATTATATTATAGTAATATGAAGATAATCTGGGAGCTCTTTTTAATTCCTGGAGCACCTCCTTCAGCGGTGTATAGTATAGCTCCCACTTATCGTACTATAAATGTCATAGAAGTTAGTTTGTTGCCATACATTTAGTATCTAGTTACGATTCGAGATTCTGTAAATTTGGTAAAAACTTAAGACTGATGTCCGACTTAAGAATGGAAACACAGTCAAAAAATAATGATAGAAACAAAAGCTTCTTTTTAATCTTAGCTATAAAATTGTACCGATAAAATGTTGCCATAATAAATTTAGTGTTTCAAACCAAATAAAAATACAAAGATCGGTCGGTCCTTTTTATATGCAATATACAGTAAAACGGTTAGAATAAAATTAAAAAAGAAACAGAATTATCAGTCATAAAACAAACAATATCGTATTACAAAACGAATATTAATCCATTTTATATGACTTTTAATTAATAATAAAATAGACGAAAACCTCATTTCTACTAAATTAACGACAGATAATAAATTTCGTTGACATATCTTTCGATCTTATTTTTTTTTAAAGATGTCTTTACCGTAATTGGGCGGGTGATATGAATTTGGCAATCAAATAAATATTAGGTCGGAATTGGGACAGGTGGAGTGCCGAAATTAGGGTATGTGGCGTGCCCTTTGTAATTGAGATGTGAATGTCGTTTTTTGATTAACTGCGAGGGGTTGGCTTGTTGATGGTTTGAGTTCGTTTTTAATACGAATTTATGTGCGAAAACCGGTTCTGTTTTGAAAGATTAAGTAATTACATTGGCTGGATGAAGTCCTAACTTGATTTATTTTAAGGTTGATGATAGGATTTCAAAGTTTAAGCCTGTCGATAAGTAGGTTAAAAATTTGATGTACAGTGAGTATAAAAGTCAACATATATAAAGAAAATATATTGCGGATATAAGGACCACAATTAAAATAGAACGTAACTGCACGGTGTTACGTCAATGTTACGAATACTAATGTAATTCTTATGTAACATTTTTCAATAATAAATTATTGAGCTACTTTATGACAGTAAAACCTCGCTTGTTGTCAGACATAAGATATTTTTGAAGGCTTACAATTCATTGGTAAATCCTTTTATGTTGTGAGTGTCCATATGTGGCGTTAGATGTTTACCATCAAGTCCTAAATGAGCTAGTTTTACCCCTTGTTTCTAAGCATATTTCATATCTACTACATTATGAGCACAAACGATACTTAAATTCGTCATAATTTTAGTTCACACTAGAGTTGCTACATTACATTGCCATCACACGGCCGCCACGCCGAATATTCAGCGCTACGACGACGAATATTCGGTATTCAGTGTTCGGCCAAATCACAATTCGTGGCAACTCTAGTTCACACACCTATGTCTCCAAGCACAAATACCTAATCATTTGCGTGCAATAATACAAAGCTATCGTGCGTGGAACATTACCGTGGCAGTCGATGGACATTTTGTCTCGCTTCACGACTTATTATAACCGTTTAGATCCAAACAACTACTGTAATGTTGTACCCAATAATCGCCATTAGGCGCTTCCTTTGATATCCAAAAAAGTTACACGGTAAAGTATGAGTCATTGCTATTGGATTGTTCGGTAAGGCTTTTGAAGAATGTCTGTGTAGCTGATAGATACAACATTATTGTTTTGATAAAAAAAGGTTGAATATATTTGTCATTTGTCACTAATAAATAATAATTGTTTTTTTGAGTGATAAGAGAATAAAGGAAATGAAAAAATGTACAGAAAGTTTGCGGTATTTATTATTTATTTCTAATTCTGTCGATAATTACAGCGTAAAGATTAAAAAAAAACACTTAAATTCATTTCATTAGTGATTAAAATCCAGTGCTCTCATTCTAAAGTCAACAGATTTAGTACTGAGAGTTGTGATAAAAAATGCAATATTTTTAAGTTAAATCTAAATCTAAAAAATAAGGTACAATAAAAATTCAGTAGTACCCACTCTTGCGATTACCCCTACTGAATCTTATTATTATATTTTCTGAGGAAATTTTTGCTTTGGCCACAATATACAAATATCAGTATCGATATCAGATTCCAATGTTAAGTAGGTAAATAGTATTTTAGCTAATTGAGATCATATAATGCATTAAAAATGAGAACAGACATTTTCCTATAAATATACTCAAATTAACTGCAGATTCATCTAACTTTGATAGCCTGAACAAAGTCCAAAGTACCAGGAGACCATATTCACATTAGAGTTTTCCAACAGGTCAGGCGGGCGTCAACCAATTGGGAGGCGTCTTCGTAAATGGCCGTCCTCTGCCAGACGTTGTTCGGAAGAGAATCGTGGAGCTGGCCATCATGGGAGTACGACCCTGCGATATCAGCAGACAATTGCTGGTCTCACATGGATGCGTCTCCAAGATCCTGACCAGGTTTTACGAGACCGGGTCTATTAGACCGGGGTCTATTGGAGGCAGTAAGACTAAGGTGAGTGTTTGTTCGAATTTGAGCCTATTGGAAACTTATTATGATTCAAAATGGAATAAATATTATTATGAGTGGCATGTTTTGTTGAGAAAAACTGTGAATGATGTGGTTTTTCGCTTCAAAATGACGTAAAATTGCGAAAATATACTTTCACATCCTTTTTTTGTATACTATTCAACAGAAAACCGTTGGAAGGAATGATTTTACCTTAGAATAATCGATCTTATGTTCTTCGTCATAAAACAGAATTCTTGTTTCTAATTGTAAATAGCTCTTAATATCAGTCAGGTAGCAAACAAAATTGTACAAATTACAAATGTAATATTAACAGCCTCTAATACCAAGGGTGACTTTAATCACGAAACGTCGTAAAAGACCAATTATTATCAATATAACTCATTTTGGTCCTTTTCCTCTTCATTGCAATTATAATGACCTTTTCATATTTTATTTATATGTATTTGATTCGGCGCCGTCAATCTGTACAGAAATAATATAAAAATACAAGAAGTAATAAATAAGGTATCGATAATACAAATCTATATATTTTTTGTTACAAAGTTTATTTTATTTTGGATTTTGTTAAAGGCTTTGTTTGTGAATTTATTTGATAATGACTATGTTAAAGGATAAGTTAGCATAAAGGAGCTTTGTTAAATAGATATTCACAACTATCTGGTGGCCATTTTAAAAAACATAAGACGCGTACTTTTCATTTATTACAGAATGAAATAATTTTGACAAGAAATTTATTTAAAACTACGTGTGACTTCACGATTTATTAAATTTTTTGTACTGTACAGCGACTTACGTGCGACTACTATACCTAAATTAATTTTATCTAAATATCCATTTTTATTTATTTTCTATCTAATTATTTTTTCTCTAAAGAATGTTTCATCTATAGGAAACCCTATCGATTGATCTTGCAATCTTCTTCTGGTTTTGAGTCTGAGTAGTCCAATTTCGGATAATGAAATCTGACGAATATAATTGTGAATCTCTATATCTGTGTTGTGAATCTTTGTTATTATTTTGCGCATCAACGGCTGGACCGATTTGGTTGAAATTTGATATGTAGATAGGTGATATATCAACATAGATGATGCCCTGGATAACACATAGGGCTTTTTACATACTACGTGAGTGAAGCCGCAGACGGAAGCTAGTGTGTAAAACAAGAGTTTATTTTATTTCATATCTATCAAGGCAAGTCGGGGGTAGAGTAGGATGACTTTCACCCCTCAAAAATAAAACATATCCTGATATAATACCTACATGATCATAATAAATCACACTCATTATAAACTTTTTGCTAATGGCGAAAATTATTAGCATATCGTGCAAACCGAGCAATCAGTTTAAATTTCAGTTTGCCAGTAATTATAGAATGTAGCATGATAATTACTTATTAACAAAATACCCTTTTACTTTTTAATGATGTCAGCTCTCACTTTGAATTTTGACAAAATTAAATTAAAGGCACAGATAATGAAATGAGAAATATAAATGCCAAACTATATTATTTTATATTTAAACTGTAAATAAAAAAATGATTTTTGTTTTTTAATAAAATTTCTTATCATTACATGAGTAACTCAGGGTAGCATAACCTATAGATATATTGTATATTTTAGTCTCCTTAACATTATACATTTTACAAGAATGTCAATCAAAAACACTAAAAAAAGTCTTAAAGCCTCCATAGATTCTTAGCAAATGTCGAAATAAAGGGGAAAAAATGTAAATCAACAGTGTTGTCGGTCTGTCCGTCTGTCGATCGCCGGCGAATCGAGCGGGTCACGCCGCCAATCACCAGTAATTATAAACTATAAAATTTTTAACCGGCACCGACTTTCGGCTTCTTGAGATGGCCTTTCGACACGCCCGTACGGCGCGCGATCGGTAGGGTTCAGCGGGGTTCTGTATCGAATTATAAATGATTTTGAAATTTGGAATTTTCATTTTATGTTGATTGCAGTAACTTGTTCCATATTACGTTTTGTTTGGAATTAGATTGCGTTTATTAGATTTTTTTGTTTATATATGGAATTAAAAATAAAAATCTTATAAAATAATGGAATAAATGACTAAGGCTTTAAGTCAGCCATTGTGCATGACGTTTAAATAAATTTCCACATTACTAATAATTTTCCACAAAAAACAGAACCTACTTAATCCTCATCCTCACTTACATAGTCAGGACACCCATCTCAAAAACCATCATTAAGAAAAGTTTAAATTTCGAATTTCATACAAAAAAGTAAAGTCGGAAAACATTTTGAACGTTTTAGTATCAACCGACGTAACCCCGCAACGAACTCCGGTAAGCGTATTCGACACCGACCTCACTAAATTCGGTACGCCAATAAAACAACCATTTGTTCTTCCACAAACGGACGCCGCCATCAAAAAATTGATTACAACAAAATACTTCGAAATCACCGAATACTTTTATTGACGGGTTATGGGAACACTTAATTGACTACTAATCAAGGTGATCAAACGTCACGTATCACTCGATTCATCGGACCTACGTATACCGATTATAATCGGTATATCGATACATCGATATGACAGTGATCTCATCTCTAAAATCGGAACCAATTGTGAATTATGTAAAACGTTTTTAATTTTTTCTGATAATTATTTTGCGTTTCTTTTTAAATTGTTTTATGGTTATATATCGCCGTTCTCTATGCTGATTGAATAAATAATGGCAACTTACATCAATATTATTACTAATAGTATTGTAAATTGGCAACATTTGTTACTTTCTAAATGCGATACAAAGCGCTTGAGTTATAAATTCTCATCATATTTGAATGAAATTGATTGTCCTGGCTTAAGTTAATTGGATTTTATAAAACCAATTTACTTTCTCTCTTTTTAAAGTTTAATTTACGTGAGAAAAAGTGGTATAATATTTTTAACATTTATTACCAAAAATATTGATTCACTAAATGGTGACGGTATTGCTACGGTACGATCTGATTTTAAATGGTGGCAACTTAGATGCGTTTTAATAAATAAGCGGGTAATAGATTGCGGTCCGCCGATGTCGCCACCGCACAAAATTCGCGTGGGACGATACATACCAAAGCTTTATCTTTCCCAAATCTAAATCAATTACGAAATTCGAAACTTCAAAGCTAATTTAATTTTATATTAGATTAATTTTATTTATGTTTCCGTGATTTGTATTACAATAGTTTTCATAGGTTCCATTTACATAGTATATCACACCTTTTATCAATCAAATGGAAGACAGGTTTGGACTACAGAGTCTTCACGATTTCATGCCTTAAAATTTTTCTAACTGGCTTTTAATAAAAAAGAAAATGCCAAAAAGACCAACCTTTTTTTACATGAATAAACGACAAAAAAGGAACAAAATATATTCTTTTTTCGAATCATCAAACGTCAAGAATCACACAGATAGGCGCCATTAAAACAGTGCGATAACCTCAGCCAATTAAACACTATTAAAATCAGAGGTATATAAATGAACAGTAAAGATTTCTCTGTGAAAAATCGTTTGATTGGACAATTTGACCAGCCTTGGAGTTTTAAAAGGTTAAAACAATATCGTTAGAGGCACCTTGAAGTATTACGACCCTGCATAGTTTGTTGTGGATGAATTTTAATTGTTTTTACTTGTAAATGCAAAAAAAACATTCATTTTGTGAAAGAAAGCTGATTTATACTGAGACTTTGTTGAATGTCGTAGTTAAAACCAAAACAATTTCTAACATTGGTACATAGAAACAGTGTAGCTATAACTTCGTGTATATGTTTTTGAAGGCGGAAAATTATCAAGTAGCTTTCCCGCTCTTGGAAGGGCGAGAGAAACTGTTAGAATCTTACAAACTCATGACATAACCATCCCCTTCCATATCCTACGAAGCCGCCGTATATTTGCGCTTTGCCTATAACGGGCAGCCTTCATACGCATAAATTCGGTTGTTTTAATCGTTTCTGTGGTCCTTTGGTCTTTTGGTCCTTTTATATAATATAATTCAGTACTAAAAGTCGAAATTAAAGTCGCCACACATTACGTAACGACTAGATTATATCAGATCATAAAATCAATCATACCCACGGTTTACGCTTTCAGCCTTATTTTCAAAATCGGAAACATAAAAAGAAAACATTCATCGCTAAGATTACCAAAAAACCCTATCTAAATACCGAATTGTAGTAACAAAATTAAAAAATCGTAACGCAACAAACGAAAATTGAAAAAATATCACGTAGTACAATTGTTACCTATGTAGTATAGTCGTACAAAATTTAAATAATTTGACCAATCCAAATTATTAGTGTGGGAAACCACGCTATCGTCAGATACATCGATATTTTTTCCAACAAATATTTACCGTTATTACTTCACTTACGAATAGCGAAAAACCCGGGATAAATGGTCGATTAAACCGTGTAGCTATTATAAAATTACGATACGCTTTTTCTAACTTAATTGCTGATCACTTCAGAAGCATATTTCTATAGTTTTACCGGCTCGCTGAGCTTCCATTTTTAATTAAAATTTTAGTTGTTACGAGCACAACCGACGTTCGTTAAAGATAACTGTTTTTCCACACGAATGGTATACCATATGTAATAGTTTGAGTGCTAAATGTAAAACAAATGAATCGTTTTGAGGTCTAGCACATATTTATTGTTTTACAGTTAAATGTAGGGTTAGTTGCTAAGCAAATCTATACCCTATCTACATAAGTTTAAAAATAAAGCAGCCTTATTACACAACTAAGTTTTTCTTTAGTCTATGTCTAAACCATTAAGCCTGTTTTTGTATTTCAAATTAAAGGTAGGTGAAAATAAGATTCAAAATACAAATCCGGGATCATTGGTTCAATCCTAGACTAAAAATAATGAGGAGGTCGAAATTTTGATGTATTCATCAATGAGAGATAAGGATATAATAAAACTACTGATTCCCATATCATAAGTATTTTTTGTGCGAAGTGAAACGTCAATAA